CAACCCGTCTCTTCACGCTGATGGTGGCTTCTTTGTAGAATGGCGAGATCCTAGTCGTAAAGTTGTTGTAAAGCTCACGAAGCATCCCTATATATTGAGTAAGGTTTCCTCGGTTGCCCAGGCCTTCGATTACTGCTTTGGTCTCGATGGTATCAAAGGCGTTCATCGAATCGACGAACGTAAGACATAATGGCATTTTTTGCTCTTGCGATACTTCAGTGAGTCTTTTAAAAGTGGATGTAATCGATTGTACTGAACCCTTTCCCAAACCCTACTTGCTACACCATGGTTGCTCAGGGCTACAATTACCGCTTCTGTCTCCACGGTGTCAGAGGCTTTCTTCGAATCGATAAATGTAATATATAACGGCATTTTGTAATCTCGCGATACTTCAATGAGCCTTGTTAGAGTGTGGATACGATCGACTGTGCTGAACCCTCTTCGATACCCTGCTTGCCCGCATGGCTGTTCTTCATCTAATATTCTGCGTATCCTGTTCAGGATGACGAGTGTGAAAAGCTTGTAGACTACATACAGCTGTCAGATTGCGTGGTGGTTGCCAATATCGTCAGGACCTTCCTTCTTGTTCGCAACATGGTCTTGTCAGTTTTCCAGGACGTGGGCACTTTGCATTGCGACAGGTACCGAGTGGAAAAGCCGAGCCAGGGTTCTGACAATGACTGGCGGAAGACTCCTTAGATGTTCTGTTTTGATCTTATCGGAACCAGGCGCCGTATCATTCTTCATCGACGTGATGACACATCGAATTTCGGAAGGGATGACCGAAGGAGCGATACATTCATTGCTTAAGATGGTGGGTAGGCAGGTATACGTGGCTGTCGAAAAGATCAGAGCAGAAGTCGTAGATGACCTACTCCATTGCTTTTCGAGATGCTGCAACCGTTCCGTCAGGGCGACTAAGGGAAGACATCGTGGTCTTGTAATTGGCAAACCTCTGTCGCGCTTTGCGAATGTTATTTCCGGCCTCGGCGGCCTCGTCGATAAGTGCTGCTCTTCTCTCTTTCAGATCTTCGGTTTCCCTCCCCATACAAGCATGAGTATTAGATAAGTTTTCGCTTTTGTCGATTATACTATACTGATTTTATTGACCGTCACTAGCGATCATCCGCTGATTGGACTGAAATCTAAACGGCTCAGCTAATCCCATCTTGTAGGATTACGGGTATTACGATTCAGTCCCAAATTCTGGTGGAATTGTTTTACCCCGTTCTCATATTATCTTCGTTCATGACGCATAACGATAGGCGCTTTCGACCATACCAGCAGTTAAAGCTGCTGTGACTTAAAGGCACGGTTCACGATAAAAAAAGGTTACTGAGTTCTCCCTTCAGGCGTACTCAGCGCCCCAATGGGTGGTGAAAGGGACCCTCTCGCTCCCACGCTCGGCGTTTAGAGCATAGCGGGAGCCCCGTTGCTGCCGTAGTTCGCTTTCCCGCCCCCGGTCGGTGTCACGTTAGACGAGTGTCGAGACAATACAGATTACTATTATTCGTTCCAGGACCCACGCACAATCAGCTAATCGCCGAGTGATAGGGCGATGTTTTTTTCCATTCTTTTTTCCTCTTTTTTTCTTTTTGCTGCCGCGAACCCTTATTTAATTTCCTACTCCTAGAGGCTGAAAAAGGTGAGCTACTTTCGCTGATACTGGGGTTTTTTTTTGTTTTCTTATGCTTATAAGTGAACGAATTTTTGCTTACCATTGTCCGTTATTCGCACAAGGACCACACGCGCCCAATGGAACACACTGCTTAGCTCGTCCGGACGCCCCACTCTTCTTCATTTTTCTGGTTTCATTCTCGTCCAGCCCACTTTTTAGCGGTTTTTCGAAGCCTTTTTTCACTTTGTAAACACCGATGCACGCAGTTCCTTCACGTCAGTCGCACTAGTTTCGATCTTGTCTCACATTTTTCATCATAATGTGGACTACCCAAAATTATCATGAACTGGGCCTTTAAAGAGAGCACTTCCCGCGCCTCTTTTCATTTCTAAGAATCATTCTGCGACGACCTAGATCATTCATCGCTCTACGGCTCGATGATGAGTGGTTGTTCCTAGGGCAGAAAATACACTTATCGCTGTACTGGGGTGGTGGATGATCAGCCTTATCAGCCCCAATCGGTTTATTAGCGTAGCCTAACCAGCGCTCAATATCATTTTTTCCAGATCTATCCCTTTAACTGGGTCACTGCATCTTCAAAAGTTTGTTGCTTTTCGATTGACTATCTATTGATACACGCTTTACTATGTCCTGCTGGTTCACGCCATGTCGGGTCGCATGTACTCCGCACGTTATACCTTGCGGAGATTATTTGGTGCACTAGCGCTTGATATTTCGAAGACTGATCATTCCATCCAAAACAGTAATGGGCTCCATATTCATTAGCTTTTGGATGATTTGCGTTCTGCTCCTGGGTTGATTGAGATTTTTTGTGTAGGGTTTTTATTATTTATATTTTATAAATATTTAATATTTTTATGGTATATTATGTTTTATATTTTTATTTTTATTATCCATTTATAGTTATCTAGAAACAGCCCCAAATCCTTTAGAAATTTGGGCCTTACCTACTGGAATCTTTTTGAGAAGAAGAACCTTTTTCATGGTGTCCATGTCGGAACTATTCTGTATAAGTGCCTCGCAGACTGCCCAGTATTCTCGGAAATCTTTGGCACTACCGTGAAACTTCGGTAGCGACACTGGAGGAGCTCTATTGAGTGGCAGCTTCTTTGCGAGCTCGTTTGTGTCATATTTCCCCGGTATTTGGTGGGATGGAAAGTGCTTTGAGTTGGTAGGAATGACGTGGGTAGCTTATTCGCCATACCACTTCACTGTGTTGTTCGTTGGTATCTAGGTCGGGAAGTCAACATGATGAACGACCTAGCTCCAGAGCTGTGCAGAAGGAAACGCGCCGCGTGGGGAGCATTTAAGAATATCGAGGGAGTAGTGAAGAAGACAAAGAACATCCGGCTCACCTTTTCGACACTGCTGTCCTTCCTGCTTTGACGTACGCCTCGGAGACCTGGACTCTACGAAAGCAGGATGAGCATGCTGTCAGCGTTATTCAACGCGCTTTGGAAAGGACGATGCTCGGAATTTCCCTATACACGCAAGTGCAGAAGGGAATCCGGAGTTCCGAGCTCCGTCACCGAACGAAGATCAGGGATGCCGTTGATTACGCCAAGAAATCGAAGATCAGGTGGGCCGGACACGTTATGCGATATAGTGATGACCGTTGGACCAGGGCGGTTACTGACTGGATCCCTCGGGACATCAAACGAACACCAGGAAGGCCGCCGACGAGATGGTCAGACTTCTTCACGAAAGCTCTGAACGAAAGGAATGTTGAACCTCGTGTCCCTGAAGCGAGAACGGTTCACTGGACCACTTTGGCTCGTGACAGGGACGAATGGAGACGTTACTGGCGCCCGCTCGAGGATTTCGATGATCAACGGGACGACAGGTGATACAGGTGATACTCTTGTCGAAAACGATTTCGGAATTCCTTCCTAGGTTAACTTTTGAGCTCACATTTATAGATCCGTTTTCTTCTTTATCAATTGATTGCGAGCTTTGGGCACTGCGATTTTTGTAGCCTAGCTCAATGGCCATTCTGTTCCGAGCACATCTCGCCTCATCTAATCCTGCCATGTAACCGAACTTGTACGCGTCGGTTTATTGATTGCATTTCAAACTCTTCCTCGATTTGCTCTATTTCGAGTAGTATAACCTTCCTCTCGGATAGTTCTGCATGTCTTGTGTCCCTCTGTTATTTTATTATAGTTCTTCTCTAACTTTTCTCGTAACTCCCTTATTGAACTTGACGCCGCTTCGCAGGAGGGCAATAGTAGACCTAAATTTTTCGTAGGTGTCACCATGTATTATGGGACATTCGATCCCGGCAGTGTAAGCTCCATAGCGTGCTACTAACCGGTAAGTTCCTCGAGGAGTTAGCGCTTGAGATGATGTTCTTTCTATAAGAGTGAAGTGCCACTATTCTTGTGTTTAGGATAAAGTTTACTGTGACGTGAAAGTTTATGACAGACTCGTTCGATCCTATTTGAATTCGAAAGATTTCTCTTGGCTTACGTTTACTCGACTTATTTTAGCCGATGAGGTTCAGGGCTTCTAGTGACTTCGGTGAGAAAGGCTCAGAAGAGTAAATAGTAAGTGCGGATGTTATCGCAATGAAAGCACAGAATAATAACAAAAAAGCCTTCATCACAACACAAAGCCGACGTGTTGCCATTGACGCTGAGAAAGGAATGCGGACCCACACATCTTGCTGGATCACGCACCATTTAGTGGCAAGGGTTCAGTAGGGGGTTCGATACCTGGTGGAAATGAAAGTGGGGTGTGTCACAGTTTTTGTGCAGAAAGAGGGGTAGCTTAACTTACTTATGCTTGGGAACAGTTTTAGTTTTTACGATAGCTCTAGAGAGATGGAGCACCGGGGAGAGTAAGATGACTACCTTGTGCAAAAAGCTGGGATGGGTTAAGAATTTATAATGTTCCATCTCTCTTAAGGCTTTGCGTAGTTGAGAAAAACTGTTTTTCCCAGGCTATGAGACGTTCCCAAGAACTATTGTAGGTTCGCAAAGTCGGATGCCACTACTGCTCTGTTTTTCAGCACCGAATGTTGTGAGAGAACGGTCCCTCCCCTCCCAACTAATACCCAGACCCTTATACTACATATTAGTGAGATGATGGTGGCGAGCACCAGACTATGTGAGATTACGGTAGTTGCGGATTGTATGCAATGGCAGACTGCTATCGTAGTTGGAAACAAATAGCACCGAAATCCCTTGGATTGTCATAAACTAGTGCTTTCGATACATGTGTGCGTGCATCATCTTTTGAAATCTTGTTAATTATATTTAATTCTTGGTGACCATTTTTGGTATACTTGTATGCATTGTCGGGTCGTAGTGCTATATTTTTCTATTTGCAGCACTCTAATTTCTCTTCGGTAGTCTTCAAAATGTCGATCCTGCAAAAAATCCAAGACATCGAAGATGAGGTGAAAGACGACGTTTCTATCATCATAAAGCGTTGCTAGTTTTCTTTCTCACTCTTTACAGAATATGAGCAATAAGTACCGCTTATTATTCAGATGGCCCGTACACAGAAGAACAAGGCAACGAATGCTCATTTGGGAATGCTTAAAGCTAAGCTGGCCAAGCTTCGCCAAGAGCTCATCACACCTAAGGGAGGTGGCGGAGGTGGAGGCGAAGGTTTTGACGTCGCAAAAACTGGCGACGCTCGCGTTGGTTTCGTGGGTAGGTTAATAGTGCATTGTTTAGATCGAACATCGATTTCACTCCGTTTTTTGCTTTCTGAGTGAGGTGAACTGGTACGCTAAGCGGCCATAATGATGTAAAGTAAATGGGCATAAGTAAGGGTAGGTTCGTTTTTTCGCTTCTGTGGTCGTATTATTCATTTCCGACACTGTAGAAAAGTAGTTCCAAGTTGACAACGTAATATTGAAGGCATATAAAAGGGTACGAAGGGTTTTTCTGTTGTTATACTGCTGTGCCGTACAAAGTAGTGTATTGGGGTCAGTCTATTGTCGTCAATAATAACGAACTTGTAAGGTAGAGCGGTTAAAGCATCAATCCACATGCTCAGATTTCTAGAAGATCGAACACGATGCCCTTAGTTTTTCTCCTGCAATGCGCGCCTTAGTTTATGTCGAGTTGTTGTCAATTCTCTCATTTTCGCTAGAGTCGAGAATAATCAATTAGCGCAAAAGAAAATATGTGGATATATACATATTTATTTATTTATCTCCTCAAGTTTTCACAGATGTCTTATATGAGGTTTTGGAACACAATGCTCGCTAGAGTATTATTTTGGCCAGAAAACACATTGCTTTTGTTTTGAGGGTTTGGAAGGGGAATATGGACGGTAGGTTATTATTGCCTTATACATCTTTCTTGCTCACTTGTGCCCGAAAAGTTTCTTCCCAAGTGTTATACTATTCTATTAGCATGAGGAGTATTTCGTTGAGTGTATTTTTTTCGGGTCTTGAACAAACACAGAATGTTGGTGGCATTTTCTTAAAAGAGTTTAGAAGCGAGAGGCTTTCTCGATTAATTTTTGATGGAGGCAGAAGTGGTGTAGTGCGAAGTGGCGAACTACGATCAGCGTGGCCTTGGAACCGACTCAAGAGTTGGTACCTGCCCTAGCTAACGAAGCCTTTCACCCCACATAGCTCATTAATCTGTACCATACTCTATATCTGTCTATGAGAATACAAGAATGAGCATGTGTCACATTCACGTGTTCAACACAGCATGTGTTCGACCCATATACTCTTTCAAATAGCGCTACGATTGGAATGGAAGTCGAATGCAGGGGCTGCATATCACAGGTTGGATTGTTAAACGCTAAAAGACTTTATGTTTGAGCTCGAACTGTTCCTTGACGCATGCTTTCTCGCAGCTACGATAGCGTAAATTAGCGGCATAACCTCTTAGGGTTTCGAGCCTTTTCAATCTCACCAACCATTTTATTTGAGTCTTTGTTCCTCTCTTGATGCCTGAGGTGTGGCGTTTTCCTTTCGAGTTTTTATGGCGTTCGGTAGATGCTTTGTGGCTCCTTCTTTTGTATCAAATTGTTAAATGTTCCTTAATGTTCCCAGTTTTCTACTTCGTTTTTTTTGGTTTTGCTTTATTTTCTCTCATGTAGCTTTTTATTTGCACCTTGTTGTTTGCTTCAATTTATACCTCAACAACTTTCTTCGTTTTGTTTGTTTATATCCCAGTACATGATCCTCGCAGCGTGCCATTTCTTGAAAAATAGTTCCATAATATCTCCTCCCCCTCTCGCTTCCATATCTGAAATAACAACATTGAACCAAACAAAAGAGTGGATCACTCTTTTTCAAATTTAATTGCTCAACTGTTTGGAATCCATTTTTAAGCAACTTCCATGTTCGCCTTTCTTGAAACCTGGGCATCGGACTAATATAATATTATTCTATGCTTCTGTGCCACACAGGTTTTTTAATGGTGGAATTTTTATTCGCCTGACGTTTCGACAAGATCGTCATTTCAAACTGAGAACGAAAACACGACGCGACTCCCAGGGACAGGTAGTTGAAAGGCTAGAGCGTACTACTCCAACATCTATTCCATTCCCACGGTCATTCTATAAAGAATCTGATCTCTTCCCGGGAGCGGATATTAAGTTTCGAATCTTGTCAACAGGAGTTCTGAACGCGCTTAATAGATTCAAGTGCGAAAAGCGCTCCAATCTGACACGCGAGCAATGGGAAGGGTTCAAAGAAATTCGGGAAAGAATAAAACGGAATG